TGGGATTGTTTTAGTTGGGAGGCTTTGTAGTACTGTTTCCATTTCCTTATATGTTATGGGTCTGTTTTAACTGTTGCTCTCTTCTTGGTTTAACTTTCATGGTTCCCATGATTTTAGATCTCCATCCAGTTCTTTTAGATTTTCAAATTTAGTAGAGTATAGGTTTTTAAAGTATTCCCTTATAATGGTCTGGATCTTTTAGGTGTCTGTTGTGATGTTTTCCCTTTCATCTCTGATTTTGTTTATTTGGATTTGCTCTTTCTTTCTTTTGGTTAACTGGGCTAGGGCTCTGTCTATCTTGTTTAGTTTTTTAAAGAACCAGCTCTTAGATTCATTGATTCTTTGTATTGTTTTCTTTGTTTCTATTTCATTAATTTCTGCTCTGATATTTGTTATTTCTTCTTTTCTGCTGGGTTTGGGTTTCATTTGTTCTTGCCTTTCCAGAGTCTTGTGTTGCAGTGTTAGGTCATTTATGTGGGCTCTTTCTAATCTTTAATGTAGGCACTTAGAGCTATAAACTTCCTCTTAGGACTGCTTTTAAAGTGTCCCAGAGGTTGTGTTGTGTTGTATTGTTCTTTTTGGTGAATTCCAGGAATGCTTTTATTTCTTTCTTAATTTTTCCTTTGACCCGCTCATTGTTTAGGAGTGTGTTGTTCAATTGCCATGAGTTCATGTAGTGATTAGGGCTTTGTCCAATGTTGATTTTGAGCTTTATTGCATTGTAGTCTGAAAGAATGCATGGAATTATTTCAATCTTTTTGTATTTATTGAGGTTTGCTTTGTGCCCCAGTAAATGGTCAATTTTAGAGACGGTTCCATCCCTGGGGTGCTGGGTAGAAAGTGCATTCTTTGGTTTTTGGGTGGAATATTTGAAAGATGTCTGTTAGGTCTATTTGATATATGGTATCATTTAATTCAGATGTCTCTCTGTTTACTCTTTGTACAGTTGACCTGTCTAATGGAGACAATGGGGTATGTGCTGGATAGCTTTAGTGTCAACTTGACACACCTGGGTTGAGGGAGCCTCAAGTGGGGAATTGACTCCATTGGACTGACCTGTGGCCATGTCTGTGGGGCATCTTCTTGATTGCTGAGTGATGTGGGAGGGCCCAGCCCACTGTGGGTAGTGCCACCCCTGGGCAGGTGGGCCCGTGTTGGACAAGAGAGCAAGCTGAGCAGGGGCCAGGGGAGCAAGCCAGTAAGCAGTGTTCCTTCATGGCCTGTGCTCTAGCTCCTGTTTCCAGGTTCCTGCCCTGAGTTCCTACCTTGGGCTCCCTGATGAACTGTGACCCAGGAGATGTAAGATAAATAAACCCTTTCCTCCCCAAGTTGGTAGTGGTCAGAGTGTTAGTCACAGAAATGAAGAACAAACCAGGACAGGATATTTAAGCCCCCTACTATTACTGAGCTGGAGTTAATCTGTGTCTTAAAGTCCTGTAGTATTGTTTTTATAAATTTAGGTGCACCAGATTTTTATAAATTTAGGTGCATATATGTTAAGGATTGTAATATCTTCTTGGTTAACTGTTCCTTTGATCAGAATGAAGTGACCATCCTTATCTCTTCTGACTAGTTTTACATTGAAGTCTATTTTGTCAGATATTAGAATTGCAGTGCCTCCTTGTTTCTTAGTGCCATTTGCTTGGAAGATTCTTTTCTATTCTTTCACCTTAAATAGTGCCTGTCCTTGAAGGTAGATGGGTTTCTTGCAGACAGCAAAAGGATGGATTTTGTTTCTTAATCCATTCACTTAGCCTGTGTCTTTTGACTGGGGAGTTCAGTCTATTGATATTTAAGGTTATTATTGAAATATGTGTATTGGTTGTTGCCATTTTGAGTGCTGTTTGTGTTCTTTGTCTAATTTTGTGTTTCCTCGACTATATCTTTATTCATTTTCTTTTGTTACTCCTGGGGTATAGTTGTTCCTTTCTCCTGTCTTTGGATTGCTTTAAGTATTCTTTGAAAGGCTGGTTTCATGGACATGTATGATTTCAGGTTTCTCGTGTCATGGAAGATTTTTCTTTCCCCCTCAACTATAATAGACATTTTTGCTAGGTAAAGTATTCTGGGTTGGCATCTATTGTCATTTAGAACTGGAAATACCTTGGTCCAGGCTCTTCTGGCTTTCATAGTTTGCACTGATAAGTCAGCTGTAATTCTGATGGGCTTTCCTTTTTATGTGACTTGTTTTTATTTTGCTGCTTTCAGTATCCTCTCATTGTTATGTACATTTAGTGTTTTTACTATGGTATGTCGTGGGGAGTTTCTTTTCTGATCCTGTCTATTTGGTGTTCTATGTGCTTCTGTATTTGTATGGGGAGGTCTTTCCTTAATTTCAGGAAATTCTCTTCTACAGTCCTGTTTAAGATCTGGTCAATACCATTAAACTGAAATTCTTCTCCTTCCTCTATGCCTATGAAACATAGATTTGGTTTTTTCATGGTGTCCCATATCTCTTGTGTATTCCATTCCTGTGTTTTAAAAAATTTTTTATAATCTTTCTTTGAGTGGTCCAATTCTTCAACTTTATCCTCCAGTGTTGATATTCTGTTTTCCATTTCATTCATTCTAAAGGTGAGGCTTTCCCCTGTTGCTTCAAGCTAGCTTTGAACTCCTAATGTTCCTTCTTCCATCTCCTGAATGCTGGGTTTACAGGCATGTAATCCCACACTGGGCTACAGAAAAAGGACATCTTAGATACCAATAAAAGATGGAGCAAGGAGAGCATGCTTTTCAAATAACACATCATCTTTGAAGCTAAATTTGTGTTTGCACTAAGAAAAACTGAACACTATTCATCCTGGCTTTTCTACTTTCACAGAAAAAGTTCTGACCCACCTGGACACAGGCTGTCATGGTAGGTTATGAGAATTAAGTTGAAGTATGCTTCTGTTTGTATTATTAAGGTGCCTTGGTCCTTTTCTTATTGGTTATGTAAAGCTGGATGGTACAGGGTTCAGGTTCTCTCAGGTTTTATTTTGGAGGGAACTGATGGCTTCAGATCAACTACTCAGGAGTACCCACAGAAGCCCAAGTCAGGTTCCAGTCAGGTACACTCAGGTTTCCTTCTAAGGCTTGGACCCCTTCTAGTGGGCACTCAGAACAAAATTTGGGAAGATCCCTAAGGGAGGGCTGATTTGGGGACTCTCAGTCAGTTTGCTGAGTTCTCAGCCCCTATGCCAGAGGGAGGCAGGAACAGGCACTTTCTGGGGGTCTGCTGAGATCTCAGCCACTACACAGATAGAGGTCGGAACCCACCCTCTCAGGCTGTCTGCTAAGATCTCAGCCTTATCCTACCAAAGCCAGGTCTGGCCTGGACCTTGGGAGGGGCCTCACACAATCCCAGTTAGGGGGTTGGGTATGGCACAATTGGGGGAAGCTCATGATCTTCAAGAAGGATCCAGGCACTCTTAGGCAGTCCCCTGAGTTTTCAGCCCCTATGCCAGAGGGAGGTAGGAACAGGCACTCTTTGGTAGTCTGCTGAGATCCCAGCTGTTACCCCAACTAGTTTTTTAAACATGAGAAGCATATTTGGTTTTCCTGAGATATTTTAAAATAGTAACAAAAACTTAATTGACTTATAGCCACTCAGATAATTTTAAACAAATAAATCTTATAATTTTCAACTAAGATATTACATTCAAAACCAAAGCAATTGCTATTGACGATATGCAGTAGATCAAATAACTTATCTATGTACAAATAAGATGTGGATATAAGATGAATAAAACTGTTTGAGATGGTCTATATGAAATACACACAAAAATCAATAAATAAAAAATGAGTTATTAAAAACATTAAAAAAGAAAATATTAATTATTAACTCCATGAAATTTAAAGGTTATTTTAAAAGTAACTTTTAAAACACCCTTGAATGTTTCTTGGAGGTATATTGTATTTCAAAATGTATCCTAAATGCAACCTAAATGCAATATGCAAATCAGGGCAATGATAAAGGCCATGTATTCAAAATCAGCCAAGTTAAAAAAAATACTTCACTATAATTGTTTCTGCCCCCATACAGGTTTCCAATTCTGGTATGATTAGTCTGACCTTCCAGTAAGGGATGAGTATCAGCCTGCCTAGGAAATGGATCAGACCTTCAGCTGCTTCCAGACAGCTTCTGCATCACCCTGAACAATCTATGCAGAAGTGCCAGTGATGGCATAAACCTGCATGATCTGGATCCCCTTCACATCTTAGAGAACATTGGTCCCACTGTGGCTATAATATCTGCATAGGGAGAGCTCTGACTCAGCTCAATAGCCTGATTTTTTTTTAGGATAAGAAAGGTATAAAATTTGGCAGCTGCCTGTTTTCGGTCATTATTTCTGCATAGCTTCATCAGACTAAAGGACTGCATTCCCATCTTGTTGGATTCCTGGGAAAATAATTAGAAAAGAGAAAAAAAATCATTAGAAGTAAAGCAGGCTGTGGATCCATAAAGAACAACAATATTGAAATTCTGATCAGTGACTATGAAAAAATCCTTAAGAGAAATAGAAATGGCTTTCTAACAAGCTTATCAAGACTCTACGGGCCACTGAGAACAAACCTGTTTCACTGAGAAAAATGCAAGCAAAAGAACTCTTAAGTTTTATGCAAATTTATGATGTGTTATACAAATGTTAGTTTTTTAAAGACTTATTTTTATTTTATATGTATTAGTTTTGCCTGAGTGTATATGTACATGTACATGTCTGGTGCTCACAGAGGCCAGAAGACGGTATTGGATCCCTTGGAACTAGAGTTATAGATGTTGTGTACTGCTGTGTGGGTGCTGGAAACTGAACCTGGGGCCTCTGTAAGAGCAACTAACTTAACTAGTGAGTCACCTCTCCAGACCCAAAATGCTAGCTTTTAAAAAAAGTGATGTTACAATAAATGCCTCCTATGGAAAGTGCAATTAGTCTAGTCTTGCAAACAGAAAAAAATCCACAGGACTCTGGGAGGCTACAAATATAATGAAATAATCAACCTATTTGGCTTCTTCTTGAAGATGCTAGAGGTGGGAATGACTGTAAAATAACCTTCATGGTAAATGTGGAAGTGCATTTGTAAGCTTCAGTGGTAGGGGCATATACCTATGTAAGTATCTCCTAGTTGGGTCCATTGTATGGCACCTGTACACCTACTAGAAATAAGTGAGATACAATGTAGTATTAAATTATGGATGAAGATAGAGCTTTTAATGAAGACAAGGATTTAGAATAAGATTCTTACAGTATGTTGTCCCCATGCCTGACACACTCCTTAGGTAGTTGTAAAGCATTTTTAGCACATCAATACAAGTTTTTGTCGGTTCATATTACTTAACAAATTAGCAAGTAAAATGCTTTATTATACTTTATCTCACCCAAGGTATGGCCCAGCATTAGTAACCTTCCAGAAATGGCATACCCAGCCTTCCTAGAAATGCTCAAAAATGAAGGTATAGAAATAAGTGATAAAAAGAGAAAGTAGAAAACACAGTTGACCTAGTACGGAGGGCAAGTATCAGTAAAGAGGAAGCCAAGGCAGCAGACAGCAAGCCAATCTGAGTACAGAACCTTGGAAAACTGAAGAACTGGAGTCATTAGCGTTACAACTAGGGATTGGGGATGCGATTAAAAGCAGAGCTCCTTGAGAGTCTGCTCGGGAGAAGTTAGACCCCCTCTCCATGCTGCAACCTCACAGAACCAGACATTACTACATACACAGCAGGAGGCAAGAAGGCCTCTTTCTGGAAATATCAATGATTGAGGTTCTGGACTCGGAACATGGGCACTGAGTGGGGAAGAAATGTCAAACCACAAACAGGGATTAAGCAATGCTCCACAGCTGTACAGTGAGATGACCAGCCTATCCCTCACCTCCTGTTTGTTCTTGAACCATAAGTATCATTCTTAAGTCTTCTAGGCTGAATATTTAAAGATTGCTCTGAAAAAAACTGGCTGTTCTAAGGGGAAAGAAACTTAAGTAATGGCATCTGTGGAAGGGATGTTACCCAGTTAACTCTCTCAAGCCCACATAAAAGCTACCCATTTGTTCTGTAACTTTTTTTTTTTTTTTCGCTCCTAACTCCTAAATAAAGACAGATAGCTAGCTGGGCATGGTGGTGCATGCCTTTAATCCTAGCACTCGGGAGGCAGAGGCAGGCAGATCTCTGTGCGTTTGAGGCTAGCCTTGTCTACATAGCGAGTTCCAGGCCAACTGGGGCTACAGGGAGACCCTGTCTTAAAAAGACCAAAGGGGGGTGGGGAGAAAAGATAGATAGCCAACCCTCTACCAAATATTTGAGTACACTCTCTAACATTAGAGAGTAAAAAGGAATATATTGAAAAGATTCATTATGGAAAGAGAATACAAAAAAGCAGAAAGAAGCTATAAAATTTGAAGCTAAAATTTTTTCACTGTAAACATGAAAAGGGATTAGGATGACAGAAAGATAAAGGATATTAGTGGTTGCTTGGGGATGAGGGTGGGTCTTACACCATGAGAGGGATAAAGCAAGAGAGCATCAAAAGACACAAGACAGAGGAGTTTTAAGTATGTTCATTACTTTGAATGTAGTATATTTAAAATTTATTTTTATTTTATATATATGAATGTTTTAAGTGCATGTACATAAGTGCATCTGTGTGTGCAAACCCAAGGAGGCCAGAAGAGGGCGTTGGATCCCCTGGAACTGAAGTTATGATCAGTTGTTAGCCACTATGTGGTTACTGGAAACCAAACCCTGGTCCTCTGCAAGAAAAGACAGTGTTCTTACCCACTGAGCCATCTCCCCAGTCCCAAATATAGTGATTGTTTTTGCAAGTGTAAAAATAATTCAAAACTTATCTAATGTAGTAAACTAAGTACAGTGTATAGTACTTTAAATATGTATAATTTGTTATATGTTAGCCATACGTCAATAAAGATTTTTTTAAAACCAAATAATTAAGGGCTGGAAAAATGACTCAGCAGTTAAGAGCACTTGCTGTTCTTGCAGAGAACCCAGGTTCAGCTCCCAGTACTCACATTAGGCATCTAACAACTACTTGTAACTCCAGTTATAGGGGATTCAAGGCTCTCTGACGTCAACTCTGTGGGTACCTGCACATGTGTAAATAAACTCGTGCAGGGATACACACATATATGTAAATAAAAATAATAAATATTTTTTAAAACTAACTAATCAATTAAATACAAGGTTAGGATTGTATGTTAATACAAATTACTAATAACTTTAAAATAAACCAAAACACCAACAAAACTCCCAGAAAGCAAAAGGTGAAAACAGACATAGAAATTTTATTAAAAACTGAAATACAAGTTTGAGACTATCTTTAGAGAGTGGAAAGATACAAAGACAAATGAAATTAATATGGGGATAAAAGGGTTTTATATAAAGGAGTAATTGAGGAGAACTGCTATCTGATCCATAAATCCTCCAAAAAGAGAAAATAGATAAGCAACAAGAAGGAAGTCCAAATTTTAAAAAGTCCTAAAACCCAAAAACATGAAGTCTGTGATTGAAACTACCCACCGCAGCTCAACACAATAAACATGGGGAGAAAAAACAACAGCCGTCAAAGTGCATCGCCATGAAATTTCAGAACAGTAGGGACAAAGAAAAGATCTAAAATTTTCTGGAGGGGCTAGAGAGATGGCTCAGTGATTAAGAACACTACTTTTGCAGAAGACCTGGGTTCAGGTCCCAGCACCCAAATGGCAATTAACAACTGTCTAAAACTCCAGTTCAAGGCGGCCCTACACTCTCTTCTGGCCTCCACAGGTATTGCATGCACCTGAGGTACTCACACGCAGGCAAGACATTTATACACATAAAATAAAAAAAAATTAAAATTTAAAAATTGTTAGAAGAGAAAAATAAAGATCCCCTGTAAAAAATAAAAAACCAAGATAGCATCTGACTTTTCAATAGCAACATAAAAATCCTAGACATGTTCCAAGGCTTTGTTAGGGGAAGTATTTCCAAGTTATGTACAGAGACAAGCAATCAAGTTCATGCTAAAATGAACAAAATTTCAGACTTGTTTGCAAGGTTTCTATCTCCTATACACAATCTCTGGAAATTATGAGAAGATGGAACCACCTAAAATAATTAAGATAAAAGAAGATCAAAGCACAAACAGAGAAACCTAGAGCCCATGTTTACAATAAAAAAATGCCCCAGGACACAAGCTGTGGAGGAGACCTAAAGAACAACTAGTTTGAATTAGACCAAGAGTATAATGAGTACAAGCCAGGTGTGGTGGCATGGACACACCCTTAATCCCAGCACTCCGGAGGCAGAGACAGGCAGATCTCTGTGAGTTTGAGGCCAGCCTGGTCTCCATAGCAAATCCAGGCTGGCTGTGGCTACAGGGAGACCCTGTCTCAAAAAGACAAAAAAAAAAAAAAAAGTTCAAGAAGGTTATCTTTGAGGGAAAAAGGTGAAACTGATGGATCAAGTGGTAGAAAAGGTTTTATAATATTGCCATAGAGTTTGGAAAATAATTAAGGATAGGTAGATATTAAGCAAATAAAGTAAGGTACTAAATCAAACAACAATAACATAACCACAAAGTTTAGCCAGAAATGAATGTAATCATATTATGAAGCTTCAATGAGAACTAATTTTTACATAATCTTTGAAGCAGAAGCTATTGGGCATCCTTTAATACCCATCTCTTCTGTATTTAGCCCTAGGTATGTAACTCAAAAGCATTTCACGCCAGTGGACTTTGATGGTTTCAACAAAAATATAAAACATTTGTATTCATAAATATCTAGGTGCTTTAAGACAATATTTTATTTAATTATTTATTTCTTGAGACAGGGTCTCCCTATAGCCCTAGGTGGCCTCTTGAGTCCTGGGATTAAAGGTGTGCACTACCTACCATACCTGGCAATATTTTATTTTGAAAAATAAAAGTAAAAGACTAGGGAAATGACTCAGTAGATAAAATGCTTGCTGTGCAATGGTAAGGAGTAGAATTCAGATCCCCAGCACCCACATAAAAAAGCTGAGTGGGCATGATGGCCAGTTTATAATCTAATACCGGAGAAACAGGGACAGAGGATTCCCAGGGCAAGCTCCCTAGCTAAACTAGGGTAGACTGCTAGAATTGGAATGTTCTAGGTTCAGTGAGAAACCTTGCCTCTGTAAATAAAGTGGAGTGATTGAGGAGACCATTTGATGACAATTTGTGGCCTTTATAAACACATGCTTGCATGGGCACCAGCACGTATGTGTGCTCCATCACTAGAATATAAATACACACATGTATGCACAGTACATACACATACACTTGCAAAAATAAAATAATAATAATGCCATCTTACCCGTAATACATTTAATATCTGAAATAATCTTTGATTCCAAATCTCTGTCTTAGTATTTTGTTCATTGCCTGATGATTCCTGTTTGAATGATTGATAAATAAAACATTTTATTTAAGGAAATTTTACCAAATGCTTATTGTTCACCAAGCATAACGTTAGCTACTACAAAAACACAACTATAACACAGAGTTCTGCCAAACAGAATTTGTAGTCTGAGGAAGGAGAGAATAGCACAAATACAGAGCAATTTGTGTGGGATTACACCTTACCTCCCCAGTATGTCTTCCAAAAAGGAACTCCAACGTATGAGACTCTATAGTCTTTAATGGTGAGACAGCCCAGAGCTTGTATCCTTTTGTATTTTGAAAAGTAAAATTAGCAAAGTCAGCCACTTTTGGCTAGGACTATATTAGTCTGGCCAATCTGAATTCAACTGGCAGGAGCAAATAGGAAAAAAAAAAAACAAAAAAACTAGAAAATCTGTTCTAGGGTCTTTATCTGAACTCAGCTGATGATATAAACACTCTTATTTTTTTGTCTTTAAAAAAAATTTTTTTTTGAGACAAGGTCTCCCAGTAGCCCCAGCTGTCCTATGTAGACCAGGCTGGCTTCAAACTCAGAGATCTGCCTGCCTCTGCCTCCCAAGTGCTGGGATTAAAGGCATGCACCACCACGCCCAGTGATATAAACACTCTTAAAATATTGTTCAGTCATTTGTGACAATAGGTTAAGAAACCTTTCAGATTTTGAGATACCTTGTCTAAATAAGGTTGACTCGTTTCCTGTCGTGATATCTCACTGGGCTGCTTCTCCTTCTCCTTCTCCTTCCTTCTTCTTCATCTTCCTCCTCTCTCCTCCTCTTCCTCTTCTTCCCTGCCCTCTCCTTCTCCTTCTCCTCCCCCCTCCTTCTTTTTTGTTTTTAAAGTCTAATCACTTTCAGAAACAGCTCAAAGTTTAAAACTGTGAAGTCAAAATCTTTTTTTTTTAAGAATTCAGTCCAGGGGCTGGAGCAATGGCTCAGCAGAGCATTGGCTGCTCTCGCAGAGGACCCGAGTTTGAATCCCAGCACACACATGGCAGCTAACAACCATTTGTAACTCCAGTTCCAGGGGATCCATCGCCCTCTTCTGACTTCCATGGGCATTGCATGATATGGGTGTACTTACATACAGGCAATACACTCACACACATAAATTTTTTTAAAAAAAGAATTCAGTCCAATCTCTCACAAGCTAACACCCTATGAGCTCAGAATAGAAACTAGGCTTAGGAAAGGTATTATCTATCTTATAAGACAACAACAATAAGGACAACAAAATAGGCTGGAAAGAGCTGGGGTAGGAGGTGGCACAGTTCTGGCTTACTGTATCTATCATTCTTCCTGGGTGAACTCTACTTCACAGTACCCAACAGCATGGATCATCCTTGTCACATGCTACTCAGCATCTAGTTTCACATAGCTTTGGCACCCAAGACACTTCCTTAGACTATTTTCAATTCTGTGCTCCAAGATTTCAGAAAACTCCAGAATATTCTGCCTGATATTCTGAATCATTTAAGGCTAAAGGGATTAATTCAATCCCAGAAGTGCTACTGCTGAATCTCCATTCTCACAGCTATAATGGCTTCCTGGTCTGATATATGCAATATCTATATCTAATCTATATATCTATATATATATTAGTTTATGTGTTGTAAGTGTTTTGTATGCATGTATGCAATGTACACTGTCATGCAATATCCATGGATGGTGTCAGAACTCCTGGAACTGGAGTTACAGATGGCTGTTAGCCACCATGTGGGTGCTGGGAACTGAACTCAGGTCCTCTGCAAGAACAGCCAGTGCTCTTAACCACTGAGCCACCCCTCCAGCACCTATTTTCTTATATTTTACTGAGACTGATTTGAAAATACAGAATAGTTCTCTAAATCTCTTTAGCTACAATTTAGTTTTATTTCCTCTGGTCTATCCTTGGGCAAATCAGTTCAACTACTTTATTGTTAAATGTACAAATGCTATTACTGGAACATAAAAAGCTCTTTATTAAAGATACGTGAAAATGTAGCATCACCTCTAATACACAACTAAATTAACCAGAAAAACAAAAGCTCAGGATAAACAGTCTGAATCTTGCAAATGCTGGTCCATTTGATCTATGTGGACACCCAAAACTGAGTCGACCGCGTGAAAAGCATACTAGATTATTAAGATAGCTAAACTTGCGCTTTGTTGCATTTTGCTTGATCACATATGAAAATAACCTGTGTCTAGGGCAGGAAAGACAATGGTAAAGATCTATCAACTCCTAGTTGAGCTGTTTGAATGTTTCAGGTGGAAAATTCAGGCTATTTATTCTGTTCTAGATTATGCAGAGAATTCAGTCTGTTTCATTTATGTGAAAATAATACAACAGTATTGGAACCCATTATAAAACTCATTTATCTAAAAACAAATTAAAGAGCCAGGTATGAGGGTACATACCAGGCTAGTCTACATAGAGAGTTCCAGGCCAGCTAGGGTTACATAGTGAGACTCTGTCTCAAAACAAACAAAAATTAAAACAAATTAAGTGGATGGAGAGATAGCTTAGTGCATAAGTGCACTTACTGCTTTTGGAGAGGATGGGTTCAGTTCCTAGTACCCACATTAAGTGTCTCATAACCACCTGTAATCCCAGTTCTAGAGGATCTAACACCCTCTTCTGGCCTCCGTGGCATCTGCATGCATGTGGTGCACATAAAATCATGCAGGCACACACATGTACACATAAATAAAAAGAAATGAATCTAAAAGCAAAACAAAGACAAATGAACACCAGGACTTAATGGGTGTTTTGATAGTGCTTAATAAACAACTTGCTAAAATTTCTTACAAAGAATGCCTTCAGTACTCTGGGACAAAGATTAAAGAAACCAGGCAGTACTGCATAGGGAGCCAGTATGTCAGAGTTCACTTCTGGCTTTGCTATCAACATGTGGCTTTTCATTTTTTTGATTTCAAAAAATCTTGTACAGAGGTAGGTCTTGTGCCAAGAATGCTGATTGAGGAAGAGATGTCCACACTATTTCATTAAAAAGTTAAAAATTTAAATCATTACGAGAGGTTCCCAGGAGCTATGTAGGACTCTGTTCCCATATGGGGGGTTATAAAGTTGATTAAGATTATTTGAGATCTTCTGTATGAAATACACAAAACTTTTAATAAAGACAAATTAAAAAATTTAAATGCCCTAAATTATACCCTAACACACCATAATCTCTGGAGATAAGAATAATTTAAAACAATGATTCTTGGGCTAAGCATGGTGGTGCACACTTTTAATCCCAGCACTTGGGGGCAGAGGCAGGTGGATCTCTATGAGATCAAGGCCAGTCTGCTCTACATGGTGAGTTCCAGGCCAGCTGTAGCTACAGAGAGAACCTATCTCAAAAAACAAAAACAACAGAAACAAAAAAACAAAAGCAAAACAAAACCCAGTGATTCCCAGCATTTTAAAATATGACACTACCAAGTCTGGTCTATATAGTGAGTTCCATCCAGCTGGAGCTACAGGGAGACTCTGTCTCTAAAAAGACCAAAAAAAAAAAAAAAAAAAAAAAAAAAAAAAAAAAAAAAAAAAGGCACTACTTTTGATAAACATAAAAAGCGCATATAATCCTTTACAATTATCTATCTGAAGTTACAAAAATAAGTTAAACATGAAAAAAAGGAAAATTCTTCATGTTTCACCAAATGATTCACAAATACCTCTGGTTTTGTTTGAGTCAGTGTAGCTCAGGCTATGTAGTCCACGCCTGCCTCAAACTCATGATTCTCCTGCCTGGTGTGTGCCACCATGCCTGACCAAATATATTTCTTGAGATCACAGATTTAAATTATAAATTTAGAAATAAACTCAGAAGCTTTTCAAACCAAATTTTAAATGAATAAGATATTAAACATTTAGGAAGACAACTTTTAAGAATATTCCCATCTTCCCAATTAGTTCCCCTCCCCACTTGCAACTCTGTTTTTATGCACTGAGTTTAACTGATGGGAGTGGAATATGATAGGGTGATGGAGAGTGAGCAGGATCATCATACATTGTCAAAAAATGTTAACTTTAAAATATTAAATAAGAAACTAGCCTCAAGATTGCACATATATTTACCAATTCAGCTGGACAGTTTTCTTTGGACACATTCACTGATGATGATCCCTCAGCAGCTGGAGAAACCATTTCAATAATATCCTGCTAAAGTAAATTCAGGAATGCTAGTGTCTATAACACGAACATTTAATTTTATTTTATTAAATGCTTCAATAACATAAAAGATAATTCCTTAAAGTGATTCAAAGTACTAGCCATATTTTAAAATATTATTTCTGAAATGTCCCAGATATACAGTCCCTAACTTAAGTATCATCCTTTTTCCCATATAACTCCCTCAGATGAAGGACCTACACACTCCTCCTCTCTTCACTTCCTATTCTCTTCCTTCTACGTCCCTTTCCATGCAGCCTCCATGTCAGAAGCTTCTACTGCTGTGCTGCTGAGACCACTTTCCTGTGAAATATTTAATCTGGCCTGAACTCAGGCCTGTACCAGCCTTCTGCTACAGGAAAGAAACCTGCAAGGGGCAAGCAGAGGTGCAGAGAGTGAGGGCCAGGATCTCAATATCTCTACCCAGGGCCATGACAGGACCTTTGACACCACTGCTGGAGTGGTCCCTGAAACAACTAAGAAAAAAATCTGTCCTCCAGAAGGGGAGCAAAGACGAAGGAAGAAGGAAAAGGAAAAATCTTGACATTTTCCGTTCCCCACCATCTCATCCTTTTTTCATTGCTTTAAAAGTGCTGGCCCCTTTCCATCCTTAACCGATCACTAAGCTCCATTCCCCAGTTGCCATTTCTGAATTTGATTAAGTCAAGAACAACTTCTAACAGTTTCCTATGTTTTTCAATTCAGCTTTAAAGATTTTAGTGACTAGGATGCATTGCTCTTTATTCTTTACCATATGCATTTGTGGAACCTTATCATAGTCTCTTTACTATCTATGAATATTCTACATTTTAGATACTATCAAATTTGTAATTACTGTACACAAAATTCTGCTTAATGAATATGTGAAAATGATTCATCAGAATCAATGTTTTCTAGTCCTTCAAACTATGTATGCTCCCATACCTCACTATATTTCACATCTCCTAACCATTTCAGAAACAAAATAAGAATGGAATTGAAGGTTAGAACATAGAATAGTGTAAAGGAGTAATGGTCAAAACTGGTACAGCATGTGGGGGAAATCTGTTTTGCAAAAATGTCTATAGTAACTGCACTCATATTTTCCTTTTAAGTTTTCCTAATCAGAATTTCAGTAGTGCATTCTGAGAAATGCCCAAGACCCCCCCCCAAAGGAAGATAGCATTGCTATTCACTATGCTAATATTCAGTATATTATCAGGTATTGAGTAAAACATACTCTTCTTGTACTGAACTGTGAAACTGTCTTTCCTCCTGAGGCATTCAGTTTCAATGTGGGTTAACTTTGAATTCCCTGAGTGATTATCAAAATACAGTGATGAGGGAACAGACCAGAAAAGCACTGGTTTATTTTTATCTAGTAAGACTATAATATTTTAGTGACAAATGAGAAAATATTTTGTTTTTATTTTTTATTTTATTTATTTTTAAAAATTTATAATTTTTCCAGGACTGGAGTTACAGACGGCTGTTAGCTGCCATGTGGGTGCTGGGATTCGAACCCGGGTCTTCTGCAAGAACAGTGTTCTTAACTGCTGAGCCATCTCTCCAGCCTCTTATTTTTATTTTTTTTATTTAAAAGATTTGTTTTTATTATTTTTAAGTATGTGCATATATCTGTGTGGGAGTATGTACATGTGCATGCAGGTGCCTGAGGAGGCCAGAAGAGGGCATTGGATCCCCTAGAGCTGCAGTTAAAGGCAGTTATGAGGAATTGAACTTCAGACCCCTATAAGAGCAGCAAGCACTCCCAACCACCAAGCCATCTCTCCAGCCCCAAGAAAATACTTTAAAGCATATTGTTTCTGACTATGTTTCCAAATAGGTATGCCTCTTAAATAAGCATTAGATTTCCAATAAAATGTCTGTTTTCCTGTTTCTTCAAAGTGACAAAATTATTTTGCTTTGGTCATGGACTTTTTGATAGTCTTTCAGATTAAAAGTTAAGATATTTGGTAGATTGAAAACATTACTCTTAGAGGAAGAAGGGTGAATTTATGATGAGAAACACAACATAGGTGTATGGGCTAGAGTTCTAAGCAACTCTTTAAAGTGTAGGGTCTAGCAAGGTTCTTTGTATATAGCCAGATTCAAGCAAAATTATTCATTTAAAATAGCACATAAAATATTATTTCAGTATGAAACTACCTCATCTTGTGATTCTACTATCCTAAACTTCTAGGGCATACTGTCTTGCAGACTAAAATTATGTTTTATCCTGTAGTTATGAGATTTACTAAAGAAAATGATGAGCAATATGAGATGAAGTATGAACTGTTATGTGTAAGAATCTGTATCAGCATCTCAGTGTTACTTCACTAGAGCTCTATAAAATTACTTCAGTGATTCTCTCTGGCTAACTTACCTCAGAGTTAACATTTTTATTGATGTCCTCATAAAAGCTAACCATAGATCCATCCATCATATCCTTCCAAGTTTGGGGTTGATCTGTCTCTTCTCTTATGGAGATCTCTGAATTACCAAGGAAGTAAAGAAAATTCAACCAAGATACATCTCAAACTTGAATTGGCTATTCAAAAAGAAAATTTCTCACAGATAACAGAATCCAATAATTTAAGAGTGGACAAACTTTCTTATGGTTCCCTTGAGTCTCATACAATTTATATCAGAGAATAGAAGAAGTATTTTCCTCCAAGCGCAGCTCTGCAGGTTATATCATGAAATATACTTCTTTGATATGCAATACCCTAGAATATCATTTTACAAGTTCATTTATGCCCCCCAACATCTCACCCTACCACTGAGCTACAACACCAGCTCTTATTGTATTTATTTTGAGATAGGCTCTCACTAAGTTGGCCAGGTTGGCCCTGAACTTGTTCTGTATCCAGGCAGGCCTTGAACTTGCAATCCTTCTGCCCCAGCTTCCTAAGTAGTTGGGATTACAGGCCTGTGTTACCAGAGTTAGCTTATATTTAACCTTTTCAGTGAAGTCTCTGGGCAGAAATTAACCTGAAAAGCAGAAAAATGTAACACTGAAGTAATATTTTAAGTTAAAATATTCTTCTACAGATAGCAATTGTACTTGAAAATATGAAATTGGATCCACTTATCATTCTGAAATGCAAAATATGACTTTGTTTATACAACATTCCTCTCAAGATTAAAAGAATTAGGAAGTCTCACCTACTATGTTTTGGTTTCTCACTTCTTCCTTCACTGACTCCTTCTGTATCAATTTTCTTGCAAGTTTAAAGTCAGAAGACAGAAAGCATTTTGCAAACAACTGTAAAAACACATTTATATTTCTTGTTTTTGTATTAATAAAGCAATTCAATATAGCATAAGCATATATGCTAATAAGTAAAAGCTATCACTTACATACAAATATTCAATAAAATAAAGTAAAATTATTTTTTGATTTATATATTTTTTATTTTTATGTGTATAAGTGTTTTGCCTGCATTTATGTAGGTACACCATGTACAAACCCACAGAGGCCAGAAGAGGGCACTGAATTCCCTGGAACTGAAGTTACTGACTGTTGTCAGCTGCCATATGGGTGCTGGGAGCTGAACCTGGGTCCTCTGCAAGAGCAGCCAGTGCTCTTAACTGCTGAGCCATCTATCCAGCCCCAACAAACTAATTTTTTAAAATAAAGTTTATATTTTTTTAGCAAGTTCAATTCTGTTGTAAATGGGAACATTTATTTAGAAAGAAACATTGCATTCATGCAAAAGCACAGGAATAATTACCATTTTCAGTTCAACATGGACCAAATCCTGGGTAGCGGTTGACAGAAGTGTATCCACTCCTCCCCTCTTCTTCCACATCATCAATCTTTGTGTGGGAGGTGCCAGGTCCAAAACCATGAGAGTGTCCACAAAGGAAGTAAGCTGCTTATGCATAATTTTGGCACTTATCTCCTTGATTGGATCAATGAGCAATCTCCTCTTTTTGCTTTTCCTTTTCTCAGCAATGTCTAAAGGAAAACAGGCATAAATAAACTTGTAAATGATATTCTAGGGTATTACATATCTAAGAAATGTATATCAGGATATAACCTGCAGAGTTGCACTGGGAGGAAAATTTTTCTGTTCTCTGAAAATATGTTTTGGAAGGTTTTTGCATAGCACAGCAAGAATACCTGAGTAGTGAAGAGCTGATAACATTTTTAAATGGTATTCTTTAGAAGTGATTGTTCACTTGCCAAGTGGGCAACTGAAGAAACATATCAAAGAGGCTGTAATGAGGGGGAAGTTAACCAATCTGGAGGTTTTATAAAATGTATATGTGGGGCTGCATAGGTGGCTCAGTGGTTAAGAGCATTGGCTGCTTTTGCAGAGGACCCGGGTTCAATTCCCAGCACCCACACGGCAGCTAACAACTGTTCATAACTCTAGTTCTGGGGGATTCGATGACCTCTTCTGACCTCTGTGGCCATTGCATGACATGGTGCACTTATGTACAAGCAATACACTCATACACACAAAATAAAAAAAATATTTAAAAAAATAAAAACACATATGTAACAGGATGTTTCAAAACATTGATATGTTTGTCCAGTGTAGTGTCCCTTGCCCACTAAAATTCATATATGAATTCAAAGTAGGTAGCTAATACCATGATGTGCCAAAAGCAGAAGTCAACCTTTTTATTTAGTAAAGCTGAAAAATTCTTTTAAAAAGATTTTTAAATTAATTTTTATTTTATGCAAATGAGTGTTTTGCCTGCATGTATGTAAGTGCACCCATGCATGCAATCCCTGCAGAGTCCAGAAGAAGATGTCAAACCCCTGGAGCTGGAGTTACAGACCAGTGTAAGCTGCCATATGGATGTGGGGAACCAAACCCAGGTCCTCTGCAAGAGCAACCAGTGCTCTTAATCTCTGAGCCACCTCTCCAGTCCCAAAAGTTTAAAACTTCTTGAACTCAATTTAAAATTTTCTAGCATTGGACATAAGATTTGTACAGGATTGAATATGATGGGAGAATTATCTCAAAATTCTTCCACATTTTTTAATTTAATTACCAATGCTATTACTAGACTGGCTACCATCTATAATATTTTGTGGATATTCACAAATCTCAAAGCAGGTGACAGCAGGGTACCAAAGATGAAAATAAAAACATGAAAACTCTTACCTAAAATATCAATTGGGTCAAGAGTAAATCCTTCTTCTTCATTTGATAATAATGTTTCATTCATTTTTCCATCTTCAGGTAGATACTGGTCATCTGGATTACCTGGTTCTACTAATTAATGACATCAGAAAAGGAATTATAAAAACATATGGTTATGTTACAAGTTAGAAGGCAACATGAGTATTAAAATGAAAAATAAATGAGGACATACTACTACCTGGGGTGATAGGTGAATTCTTAGAACCATACATTTTAATAAAGGCAAAGGCTCAGTGACAAATGGTCTGGGACACACAATATTTAGTCAAGTATCATCACCCTCTTTTGCACAGGAGGCATCTCATGCTGAGGAATAGTCACAGTAGAAAGAAAAACAAAAAAATGACAAACATATGGGGCTGGAGAGATGGCTCAGCAGTTAAGAGTACTGGCTGCTCTTGCAGAGGACTCAGGTTTGGTTCCCAGCACCCATATGGAAGCTAACAACTGTCTGTAACTTCGGTTCTGGGGAATCCAATGCCCTTTTCTGATCTCTGTGGGTATTACATGCATATGGTACATACATGCAGGCAAAACACTCATATACATAAATGATTTTTTAAATGAAAAAAAGACCAACACAAATTTGGTATGACTAAAACATTTATGTTCTGTTGAATCACTTATCAACTTAATAATAAAGAGCCATAACTAAATTTTTATTGCTTAATACTTTTGTCATTTTTTATTTCAATTGTTGTGTTAGAAAGCAAATATAGGGGGTAGAGAGATGGCTCAGTGGATAAGAGCACTGGTTTCCCTTACAGAGGGCTCAGTTTCAGTTTCTAGCACCCACATGGTGGCTAAAAAAATGTCCATAACTCCAGTTCCAGGGGATCTGACACCCTCTTCTGACCTCCATGGGTACTGCACAACATGGGTGCACTTACATACATGCAGGCAATATATTCTTACAAAATAAAATAAAGTAAATAAAATATTTTTAAAAGAAAGCAAATATAAGCAAATATGGGTGTGGTGGTACACACCTTTAGTCCCAGCACTTGGGAGGTAGAGGCAGGTGGATCACTGTGAGTTCAAGGCCAGCCTGGTCTACATAGTGAGTTCAGGTCAGCTGGGACTACAGCGAGACCCTGTCTCCAAAAAAAAAAAAAAAAAGGAATATAAAATATAAGATCAAACATTGTGAAGAATCAAAACATTCTTAAGAAAAATCAATCTTTTGGGGTGGCTCCCACTCTTCTGTAAATAAACTCCCACCCTATGCTCTGTTAGCAAGCCCAA